AAATGTTTAGAATTAGAAGTTCTTGAAAATTAATGAACAAGCGATTTGTTTTTTTCCCACTATTTAACCAATTACAGAACCGCAATGACCTTTAAAAAAACACTATTAATTAAATTTTGGACAATAAAAGTATAAAACCAGATTGTTAGCAGGAGACAAGATATAAATTAGAAAATTCATAAACATACATTTATTCAGTAAATACGATTATTAGAATCCTTGATATTTCAATGATCATTCCACGTTATAAAATAATCACAACATGTATTTAAGTCTATAAGTCATGCTGACATTCTTTTCTGATAAGCCATAGCCATTTCTTCTATTAAATGCTATATCTATTTAAATTGTAAACAAAGTACTTGAGTCAAACTGCTTACGTACTTGAAAATAACTCAAAAATTCAAAAGATAATGATTTAAAGAAAACCACACATCTGAATTATCAAACCCCAAAGAACTAGGCCACTATAATCTAGTATTATGCTAATACAGTGGCCATGTTAAGATAGCATGTAATTATCAATGACATTATTTCTCATCTACAATTTTAAAACATGCTTTCTCAAATAATGAATATTTATCTTTGTAAGTTTTACTAAGGCAAAAGGGGCAGAAAGATAAAACATCAAGTTTATGTTTAAACTACTGGCAAATTTTATTTCTTTCTTTTAAAAAAGTAGACTAATTACTTCTTAAATAAGGAACGTCAAGTACCTTTTATTCCTAAAGAAATTAAGAAATATAACCAATCATTATATTTGCTGCTACTTAACAGCAGCTGTAAATTGAATTATTCTATTCTGATACTTCCAAACACAGTCCAGTGTAATTTTATAAAGGGGAAAATTAGTGGTTCTCAACCCTACATGTCATGTCCTTCAGAACCACCCAGAAAGCTTAAAAAAAAAAAAAAAGTGTCTGGACCCACCCTCAGGGATTCTGATTTAGCTAGTGTGGATGGAACTCAGGTATTAACACTTTTTAAAGTTCTGCAGGGTGTTCTAATATGCAGCTAAGGTTCAGAATCACTGAGTTAATCTGTTTTGAAATACCAAGAAAATAAATGGAAACTGGGGAGCGGGGAATAATTATAAATTATAAATCAGCACCTATTATATATACTTACTATGTTCCTAGTTATGTTCATGAATCATACATTTACTTACATGACAAAAAAATGCCTTCATTTCCTCACTAACCACTACTGTACATCTTGGCCACTGAATGATTAAACGTTTCTATGGTCAGGATTTAAAACTCTGGGATACACTGTGAAAACTGCATTAATGAAAACAAACTACTGCTACTCATGCTCAACAGCAGCAAGCAAAACTACTGTATTTGGCTCCTCTAAGCTACCTTTATTTTAAGAATTATAATTAAGTGCCAACCCACACAAAGAACAGATTGTGGATTACTGGAGAAAAAAAAAAAAATAGCTTACTCAACTTACTAAGTTTCAACACCAAAAAAGATTTAACTTGGCTTCAAGTTCTGAAACAGCTGAGATACTGAACAAGGAAGCTATAATTTATAATGAAATGTTGACACGCCCTTAAAAGCTACTGCAGCTGTAGCCATACTTAAATAAGATTTCTTCAGGGTTTACTTACCCTGTAATGCAAGAATATGAGCATAACATTATTACTGTTTTTATATGCACCAATACCTCTCTTTAATATATAAAGCTCTACAACAAATACCTCTAATAATTTTACAATTAAATTAAAATAAATCCATAATTCTATGCTACTTTGGTCTCAACATTTTAAAAACAATTAATTTTGAAAATATACAATTTAACAACATGATCCTATCAATAACAAGCATATTTTGTAGTGGACGAAAGACACATTCAACCATGCAATCCAGTGTTCAAAACCTAAATGATAAATAACAATGCTGATTTTATTCTGAAAATCACTGAACACTGGAATAATCTTTTAAGACTCACAGTGCTCACAACATGCAGAAAAAGTTATACATTTCTAGTCTTCCTGAAGGAATGTTACAAAATGCCCACTTTTTACACAGGGTCTAAATTCCTTATTATTTCAAACCATTATCTTCTTTTTAGCATCTGTCACTTAAAAAAAAACCATACAAATGTTCCTGTAAGTTGTGACTGAAAATGAACTTCAACTCTAAATTTCAGCCTTTAAAAAAATCTGTCTTGCACTAATAGCTGCCTTTTATTAAAATAGTGACATCCAGTGGACAACCGAAAGTATCCCTCAGAATTCCCATCACTATGTTTGAATCATAAAGATCACATCTCTAAATCCAACCATTTTAAGTTCCTACTCATTCTGACAGAGTCTACAGATTCTTATGAATACATTACCTCATAATTCCTACATATCTTAAATAGATCCTTGCATAATCTTCCTATTTAAAATCAATTCCTTAAACCATGCTGGTGTATGTAACTCTTGAGGCTAATGAGGTTAAAGTATTACTTTTTCTTCTTTGCTTCTGCTATTTCTCACCACAAACTAACTGGCTCATCTCTAGGAATAGAAGGACCAAAATATGAAAAACATATTTAAATAAAAATGAATAGCATTAAAAAATTTGCAAAAGATGAAAACCTGAACCTGTTTTGTATTTGTAATTTGATATACCATTGAATATAGATGTAATCAGTAATGCTAAAAGTCAAATTACATCCTTTTGCCTTGTGCTCAATTATGAAAGAATACATATTTTAGCAATGATTGTTCAAATGTTTAAAAACTTACTTTTATAAATCAGTAGAAATGAGTCATCACTATCCATTTATGTTTAAAAGTAAAAAACTTCCACTGTGCTATGATTTATCAATGATTATACGTATTATGTGTGTGTTCAAAGTACAAAATGCAGCAGTGATGTTAACACTGACAGTGTAATGAACTGCTATAGCTGAAACTGTTTAATTTCTTGGAAAACTGTAAAGAAATTTTACAGGTTAAAAAAAATAGAGTAAGCAAAAAAAGAAACGGAGAACAGTTATTTTTAAATAAGCAGCCAAAGGAAGAAAACTTTTTTTCCTAAAAAAAGATTAAGAATGTAAAAGTACATCTGAATATTAAAAAAGCATTTTTAAAAATCTGTAACAACTTTATGACAAAATCTGCATTTGAAAAAGGCCTGTAAAAAGAGCGGGACAAAATTGCCCTCATCACCTTTTACTTTTTCTTGTCAGAAAAAAGTGTATGCATCTCTGGAACCATAAATGATGTTAAAATAGGCATTTATAAAACGGCAAGGAGCATTTCACGGGGAGTTTGTTTTTTACAATCACTGGCACTGCAGCCATCAGTAGGTCACAAGTAAAACTTCTCTAAGTATAAGCAAAATGGAATATAAAGTTTTGAACTGCATTAGGTCTGTTGCCTGCGTTTGGCTGATCTCATTTTTTCAAAACGTGACTCCATTTCTTCTAAGACCTTGGGTGTATATCGTACTACTAATTTAACCTTTCCTTGAGCCGCTTTCAGCAGTTCTACAGCTTTTTCATGATGTTCTCCTTCAACGCTCTAGAAAAAAAAATACATAATTAGTATCTAGGTTTTGTAAGTCACTCAAAATGCAAAAATGCTTAAAATACGTTTAAGTAAAAAAAGTTTTAATGTAAGTAAAAAGTTTTAATATCATTTCAACACTATAAACCTATGAAATAACCCAGTTTTATTAATGTTAATCAGTGTGAAATCCTCTGCTAAGTCATAATCTTTTGTAGTGCAGGAACTGGTTTATAAGATCCAAACAATTAGCATATCAATCTATATGCCCCATTATTTAATAAACCAGAAGTAAATCAAGCAGCTGCCATTCTGTAAGACTAAAATGAGATAAGACTTCTAATTTAAATATTGCCTCAACTACTAAATAGCATACTAACTTCATAAAAATCACACTAAGTGGTAATTTACATTGGAAAAAAGCAAAACACTCTTAAAGTGCTTTAAAATGTATCACCGTACTAAATAGTACTGCCTAGAATTCTCCCATGGGATTTCTAAACTACAAAGAATCACTGAACACTGGAATAATCTTTTAAGACTCACAGTGCTCACAACATGCAGAAAAAGTTATACATTTCTAGTCTTCCTGAAGGAATGTTACAAAATGCCCACTTTTTACACAGGGTCTAAATTCCTTATTATTTCAAACCATTATCTTCTTTTTAGCATCTGTCACTTAAAAAAAAAACCATACAAATGTTCCTGTAAGTTGTGACTGAAAATGAACTTCAACTCTAAATTTCAGCCTTTAAAAAAATCTGTCTTGCACTAATAGCTGCCTTTTATTAAAATAGTGACATCCAGTGGACAACCGAAAGTATCCCTCAGAATTCCCATCACTATGTTTGAATCATAAAGATCACATCTCTAAATCCAACCATTTTAAGTTCCTACTCATTCTGACAGAGTCTACAGATTCTTATGAATACATTACCTCATAATTCCTACATATCTTAAATAGATCCTTGCATAATCTTCCTATTTAAAATCAATTCCTTAAACCATGCTGGTGTATGTAACTCTTGAGGCTAATGAGGTTAAAGTATTACTTTTTCTTCTTTGCTTCTGCTATTTCTCACCACAAACTAACTGGCTCATCTCTAGGAATAGAAGGACCAAAATATGAAAAACATATTTAAATAAAAATGAATAGCATTAAAAAATTTGCAAAAGATGAAAACCTGAACCTGTTTTGTATTTGTAATTTGATATACCATTGAATATAGATGTAATCAGTAATGCTAAAAGTCAAATTACATCCTTTTGCCTTGTGCTCAATTATGAAAGAATACATATTTTAGCAATGATTGTTCAAATGTTTAAAAACTTACTTTTATAAATCAGTAGAAATGAGTCATCACTATCCATTTATGTTTAAAAGTAAAAAACTTCCACTGTGCTATGATTTATCAATGATTATACGTATTATGTGTGTGTTCAAAGTACAAAATGCAGCAGTGATGTTAACACTGACAGTGTAATGAACTGCTATAGCTGAAACTGTTTAATTTCTTGGAAAACTGTAAAGAAATTTTACAGGTTAAAAAAAATAGAGTAAGCAAAAAAAGAAACGGAGAACAGTTATTTTTAAATAAGCAGCCAAAGGAAGAAAACTTTTTTTCCTAAAAAAAGATTAAGAATGTAAAAGTACATCTGAATATTAAAAAAGCATTTTTAAAAATCTGTAACAACTTTATGACAAAATCTGCATTTGAAAAAGGCCTGTAAAAAGAGCGGGACAAAATTGCCCTCATCACCTTTTACTTTTTCTTGTCAGAAAAAAGTGTATGCATCTCTGGAACCATAAATGATGTTAAAATAGGCATTTATAAAACGGCAAGGAGCATTTCACGGGGAGTTTGTTTTTTACAATCACTGGCACTGCAGCCATCAGTAGGTCACAAGTAAAACTTCTCTAAGTATAAGCAAAATGGAATATAAAGTTTTGAACTGCATTAGGTCTGTTGCCTGCGTTTGGCTGATCTCATTTTTTCAAAACGTGACTCCATTTCTTCTAAGACCTTGGGTGTATATCGTACTACTAATTTAACCTTTCCTTGAGCCGCTTTCAGCAGTTCTACAGCTTTTTCATGATGTTCTCCTTCAACGCTCTAGAAAAAAAAATACATAATTAGTATCTAGGTTTTGTAAGTCACTCAAAATGCAAAAATGCTTAAAATACGTTTAAGTAAAAAAAGTTTTAATGTAAGTAAAAAGTTTTAATATCATTTCAACACTATAAACCTATGAAATAACCCAGTTTTATTAATGTTAATCAGTGTGAAATCCTCTGCTAAGTCATAATCTTTTGTAGTGCAGGAACTGGTTTATAAGATCCAAACAATTAGCATATCAATCTATATGCCCCATTATTTAATAAACCAGAAGTAAATCAAGCAGCTGCCATTCTGTAAGACTAAAATGAGATAAGACTTCTAATTTAAATATTGCCTCAACTACTAAATAGCATACTAACTTCATAAAAATCACACTAAGTGGTAATTTACATTGGAAAAAAGCAAAACACTCTTAAAGTGCTTTAAAATGTATCACCGTACTAAATAGTACTGCCTAGAATTCTCCCATGGGATTTCTAAACTACAAAGTTTTGTTCTTCCCCCTACATCTTCTATTTCTCTAACTCATATACACCCCCAAGTGGTCTTAACACATCACTACAAATAGAAATAAAACATCCTTACCACTCCATTAACAGAAAGAAGTTGATCTCCTCGCTTGAGGCCCCCATGTCTATCTGCAATTCCACCTGGAATTATTCGAGATATATAGATTGGAGAGTTTTGCTCTTTGCCTCCCATAATATTGAATCCAAGGCCCTCTTCTGTTTTTGGTAGCTCAACAACTCGAGGATGAGAATGGCCTTCACTGGCAGCAAACGCAGCAACAGTAGCCTGAAAAAAATTTTTACTATTTAAAAAATATGACCTTTGTTAACTTCAGTTCTTTAGTCTCTTTTTAGAAACTACCTTCGAGGTTCCTACTTTTGATGTTTGAATACCCACAAATTGGTAGTTCGAGGAGAAGGTAAGCTAAGAGGACGTTTTAGAGAAGACTGGGAAGCATACCATGGGACTATGTAGGACATGTAAAGATTGTTCAGGTCAGTCCATCCAGGGCTCAGAACTTCTGTGAAACAGGCTTGTTGGGCAGACGAACATTAACATTAAAAAAGAGAACCCCCTACCCTGACATGCCAGCAGTCTTGAGCTCTCGGATAGCCCTATCCGGCTCCTTCAAAGGCCTTTGTGTAGAACACAACCTATCTACATAACCTATAAGGAGGCAAGCGTCATTATATATTCAGGCATTTTGGCTGCTGTACTATGTTTCTTATGCTAAATAACTCATTAACAAATAACTAAGAATCAAGAAAAAGAGGAGCACATATAGTCAACATGAATCTTTTTGTTCGTTTTCTAGTTACTACTAAAACTGCACAGATGAAAGAGAGCCACAACTTTAAAATTTTCAAATTTAGGTTTATCTAGATTAATTCTAACACAAAGTTAAGATATTTGGTTTTATTTTTCTTTTAAAGGTAATTAAGTAACCTGGTACCATTTTTCGTGCTAGATCAGGATGCATGAACAAAAATGGGAGGGGGGAGAGGAAGAAAATCAAGATTTGTTGACTACTACTATGTTCTAAACTCTGAGAGAGGCCCCATTTTGCAGATATTGGAACTAAGGCTCATATATTCATTAAGCTATAAAGGTCATATAACTCAGGAATTAAAGCCAAATTTCTACGTTTTTTTCTATTCTGCCAAACTACACCCATGTTTGAGTGTTTGTATTCAAACAGAAAATCCAGTATTTCCTTTTGTGAACCAGTTAACTATCAATGAAAAATTACTTGCTAATGACAAATGTTAGTATAAGTCATCCAGTGCTAACATAAATTTATTCTAACCATATATGATGGCTACTGAGATCAATGTTGGAATTATTAGAGGAAAACACGTACATAAAGCACATAAACCCTGCCAGCCACAGCTCTGCAGTGATAACCTACTGCTGACATTACCCCATAATTGCAGAGTGAAGGTAAAGAAGAAAGCAAAGAACAACCTGGGGGAGCACCCCAGTTCTACCATTTACTGTTTGGTTGGTCTGAGGCAGATAACCTAGTCTGATACTTCCTCACCAATAAAATAAGGATAGTAATTCATATCTCAGAATTTTGAAGAAAATTTACATAATATATGTATATTGCATATAACTATTAGGTGTATAATTACCTGTATGCAAATGTACTTTTAATATATTATCTAACTGCATAATTATCTTTTGTAAAGACAATTAAAAAAAGGGTTGTTTCTTAGTACTTGAGACATTTAGTGTAGGTTGAAGGACATGTTAGTTTTCAAAATAAGCTTATTATGAATTTAATAATTGCATATTTTAAACTTCTAATTTATAAAGAATCTGTTTTAGTAAATGACAAAATTTACCTTTGCGGTCGCATTCGCTCTCACTTCAGGACTGCTGCTGATGTCCACAGTCTCATAGACATGTTCATATACCTATAAAATCAAAGTTATTATGATTTTAAATCTTAGAATATGCTAGGTTTGAGTTCTGTGAAGTTAATGAATGTGTTAAAATTTTAGGCAAAGTTATGCATCTTTGTAAAATGTTCTTCTATTAGAAATTCCAAAAATGAGGACAGATTCTAATGTTTTTCAAAGTTTGTTTTCTTAAGAAATTCTGAAACCAAATTTCAAAGTATTATCTAATTAACTCAAGTTTTTAGTAAATTTCAATCTCATTTACTCACCTCTCTTACAGCATTGCAGAATTCACTTTGAAGGACTCTTTGTAAAGCCTGAAGCTTCTGTGGTGGTACTTCTCCACTCCTTTGTAATTTTTCCAACAATTCAATTGCTCTACAAATATCTAGAGTTAAACAAACACACACTGATAATTTTCTCCAAAGAGTCTCTAAATACCTATTTTACAGTGTACTAATTAGGATTCATCAAGAAGAACATATGTAGAACACAGAGAAAAAAAGCATAAGAGTATGAGTGTGTGTGTACCCATGTGAGGATGGGAATGTAAAATATCAGAAGGCTCAATTTTATAGTAGATTAAGAATACTGATCTTGCACATGTACAAAATCTGGGAAAAAGCATCACTGAGAGACAGGAAAAGTGAATACTAAATCACAGGAAAGGACTGGGGCTCAAATGTGATAGATGAACATTGTACTGCTTCAGAAAAGCTGACAATATTATCCGTAATTTTTCAGTCAAAACTTACCTATCATTGTTAGTAATTAAAGCACTGAACAACAGAATATACTGTGTGCTAGTGAAATCACTGCTCATTTCCCAAAGGAAAACACAATATATATGGTAGATACCAACTGCTTAATTACAGATACAGTTAGTCGCAGGGACACAAATTAACTGGTCTGTTTTCAACTTAAGAAGTGTTTTAATTAAGACAATCAAATACATATGGTTACAAAAGAGAAAAATAAAAAGTGAATTTTGTCAATCTGGTTTCAATACTAGCTAGGTGATTCTGGACAAATTACTTAACCTCCCTGTGTCTCAGTTTCTTCATATAAAAGGGGAATAACATGGTTCTGTGGTAAGGTGTTGTGAGTCCGGGATGCGTGTGATATGTGGGTACACTTGCTTTGTGCACCGATAAATACGGGCTGTGCGGGTATTCTGTCCGAACTGGGCGTATGATGTTTGTGTCTCGAGATAATTCGTCTCTGAACGCCGCGTCTGCTGTGCTCACCCGAGTGTGCGGCATGTGTCTGCGAACGCGGACAGGTGGTATTCAACAGTGCTCTGCCCTGGGACAGTTTACGCGAACAGAGAAGTCGTCTGGGTGTTGGTCAAGAGGATCGCAAGCGCCCACCCTGGGGCCGGGCGCAAGGACGTCGACGGTCACCGACGCCAGCTGGAGGGACAGCCTGGCTCCGGGTCTCGGAGCTTGGGCCGCTCCTCCTCCCCTGTTGCGACACAGCACTCCTCCACCCCCTCCGCCCTCCTTGGTCCGGGCCTCCGCCGCACTCACCCCTCTCCAGCCGCACAGGTTCCCCCAGCGCCGCCATCTTCTCCCTTTGCCTACAGACCCACAGGAAATGACGACAGAGGGGCTGCGGTGAGGGGCGGGGCCTAGAGGAAGCCGGGAGGGCGAGGTCTGGCCAGTATCGCGAGAGGTGCAGCGAGGTCTGGGTCTCACCCAGGCCTTCAGGGGAGGAGGTGCATGAGCGCAGGTGCTGGAGGTGGGCTGTCCGCTGCACCATCAGCGGTTGTAAGTGTCGAATATCCTAGCCTCCTAAAATTGAAAAGATCCCGTTTCTCGGCTTTTGGTCCCTGCCTCGGGATTCAAGCCTCATCTCACCTGCTTGGAACCTTCGTCTCACGTGGAGGAGTCCGGATCCTTGTCCAAGTTTCACCATTTGTGGCTCTATCTTCACATAGCCGCTTTCGTCCTCAGTTTCTCCATCTGTGCGACAAAGAGCCCTATCTCCAAGATCCTTTCTATTCTTAAACCCTGGGATTCCGTGACACCTAAGTGTGTAAATGGTATATTACAAATTTTCCTTTTGTGGCAGCTGCTTTAGTTTAAAAAATTCAAGGCGCAAATCTTCCCTACAAATTTATTTGAGAGTGAAGATGAAAAGTAACAAATCATGAAATACACTTGGGTGACAGAGAAAGTAAGGCACTTTAGCGCACCACAAAGTAATTTTTTGAAGTCGATCTAGAATCTTATATAAATAAAATATGAAGCGAATAATATTATTAATGCGTTACTGATTTTTAGGGACATTTGAAAATTTCATAAATCTATAAAATGTTAGTCCTTAATTTAAATGAATTATTAATTTGCCCAGTATTTAAATTCTAGTAAGATTTATTCAAGTCTTAGGCTATGCCGATAAGTTATGTGCTCTCCCATATAAGTTTTCAACACTTCATTACACAGCTGTTTCAGCAACCTGGGTGCCCCTGGCCCACCCTTTCCATTCAACAGTAATATTTTCTTCTAATCCACTGTGAACATCACCACTATACTCTTTCCTCACCCCCTTGAACCCTGATTTCATCATCAAAGGTTTCTGTTCAGAAACTTTCATTGATTTCTCCATTCCTATTTTTAAAATCTTTTATACTCTGACCCTAATCCACTTAACTTCATTTCTATTATCCCTCAAGTGCTACCACTGCTCCAGTAGAGGTAGTACAGTAGCCCCCCTTTATGTGCGGCTTCACTTTCCATGGTTTCAGTTATCTGTGTTCAACCGCAGTCCAAAAATATTTAATGGAAAATTCCAGAAATAAATAATTAAGTTTTAAATTGTACACCGTTCTGAGTAGCATCATGAAATCTCACATTGTCCCGCTCCTTCCTGCCCAGGATGTGAATCATCCCTTCGTCTAGTGTATCCATGTTATATACACTTCCACTGATTAGTCACATAGTAGTTGCCTCAGTTATCAGATCCATTATCCCATTATCACAGTGTTTGTGCTCAACTCACCTTTATTTTACTTAATAAAGGCTCCAAAGCACGAGAGTAGTGATGTTGGCAAAGTGGATATGCCAAAGAGAAGCCATAAAATGCTTCCTTTAAGTGGAAAGGTGAAAGTTCTTGATTTAATAAGGAAAGAAAAAAGTTGTATGCTGAGGTTGCTAAGATGTGATAAGAACAAATCTTTTATCTCTGAAATCGTGAAGAAGGAAAAAAATTTGTGCTAGTTTTGCTGTTGCATCTCAACTTGCAAAGGTTACGGCCACAGTGTGTGATAAGTGCCTTAGTTAAGATGTTAAAGGCATTAAATTTGTGGATGGAAACCACGAACAGAAAACATGTTCTGATTGATGGCAGCGTATTGCACCAGAAAGCATTGAGCTTATATGTACTTCAGCAAGGAATCCCCTGAAGCAAGTGATACCAAGCCATTTATTCCAAGTAAGGATGGCTCCACAGATTCAGAAATAGGTTTGGCATTTTATCATCTCACATCATCATGAGAAGAAGGGTGAGTACAGTTATAATAAGATATTTGAGAAAGAGAAGACGAGAGATGCAGAGACCACATTCACATACCTTGTATTATTATATAGTGTTATAATTGTTCTATTTTATTATTAGTTATTGTTATTAATCTTTTACTGTGCCTAAGTTATAAATTAAACTTTATCATAGGTATGTACGTATAGGAAAAAACAGTATATATAGGGTGTCATATTATCTGTGGTTTGTCATACTATCTGGGGGTCTTGGAATGGATCCCTCATGGATAAGGACAGACTATTATATAGTCAAAGCCACGTTTATTCTTGCTTCCAAGTCTTCATTTATGTTCTTATGTGGAATGCCCTTCTTCATCTCCTCCAATTCTTTAAACTGTATACACTCTCAAACTGAACTCATCCTTCAGGTCCCTGCTGAAGACATGCCACTTCCACTAAGCTTCCTTTTCTGAATACTGTTTCCCTTCTTTGGTCCCTGATGGCCCTCAGAACAGCAATAGTGCACATGTGCTTATCTATTATCCAAATCTCTTATCACAAATGTGTTCAAGGAATGTTTACTGAATGTCTGATATTTACTAGGTGCCTTGCTAGGCACTGAGAATACCATGTGGAGTTAGACAAATGCAGACATTGCCCTCATTTCTTGAAATGTTTTCTCTTCCGCATCCCCCAGCTCTTCTCCTTTGTTCACTCCACTTACATGTATATTCTGCTGCCTGACACTGTCTCACAGCTCACTGATGCTCTGTTCGTTTTGTTTTTTTTTTCAAGTTTTTCTCTGTTTCCTTTTCTCAATACCTAATATTCTCTTTATCCCATCTAGTTAACTTTTTATCTCAAGTATTGTAGTTTTTCTCTCTAGAAGTTTGATTTATGGTGCATGTGTTTCTACATCTTTATGTCCTTACTTAACATGCTTAATCTTTCCACTAGCTTCTTGAATACATAGAACACAATTATAAAGACAGTTTTAACAACCTCGTCTACTAATTCTATCATTTGTGCTATTTCTAACACTGTTTCTATTGATCATTTTTTCTCTTCATTATGGCTCATAATTTCCTGCTTCTTGCATGACTGACAATTTATATATAAATAGGATGCCAGGCTTTATGAAATTTACTTTTTTGGGTGCTAGATATTTTTGTAGTCCTATAAATACTTTTGAGATTGTTCTGACATACAGTTGGATACTTGGAAATAATTTTGTTCTTTTAAGCATTGTTTTTAAGCTTTGGTAGGTGGAACTAGTTCAGCCTTTTGTGTAGGACTAATTGTGTCCCACTTCTGAGGCAATGCCCTTCTAAATTCCTTACCCAAAGCCCCATGAATTGTGTGTTTCTACCCTGCCTGGCAAGAACAGGAATTATTCTTATTAATTGGGATTGTAGGTTGTTTACTTTGCTCTTTTCCTTCGAATGATTCTTTCCTTGTCCTTGGTAATTTTTTAACATACATAATCATGATGAAATTTCAGAATTCCAGGGATAAATAAAAGATCCTAAAAATTTTCAGAGAGAATAAAAAGAATAAAAAGCCACATTCTAAGGATTGGGAATGAGAACAGTTATATATCATTAATTATTCGAAGCATAGTTAAAGAAGAAAAAGAATGTTTTAGGAGTTTTTTTTTTTTATCGAAATATGATTCAATTAACTAACCACTCATTTGTATTCAAATGAACAAAACAAATGAAAGAAGCAGCTATTGTGTAAGGAGAGATCCTGTAAAAATGTCCCTCTCTAATTGACAAATCTTTAAGTATTAGAATTGGGAGAGACCTAGAAAGTTCACCTCCTTCATCTTATAGAAAAGACTGGTATCTCATGTCTCAGAGGAGGCCATTGTGAGTATAAATGAGGCAGAGCTGCTTTAGTTTCTATGCCTCTGTCAGATTATTGAATCACCAGGCTTTCTAATTTACAACTGTTTCTACCTATGGAAGAACTCTTCACCTGTTGCTTCAGCATATTGCTTCCTGCCTCAGAGATGAAGAGGAACAATTAAATTGGAATAGGAAGACTGAATCTATAGACAAACCCCAGATCTTTTGTACAAAGATTAAATTAAGCAAATGTAATCTTTGTATAAATAAGTTAAAGTCCTAAGTAGGCTAAGTATGAAAGCTTTCTTAACCCATTGCAAATACAATGGCAGAGATAGGATCAATTTAGAGAAAAGGGGAGTGGGTGGGGGAAATTAGGGGTCGGAGGCTGTCTGGAGAAGCTAGGAAAATGGAAAGTAAGATACTCCAAGTAGAATGTTTTACTATTTTATTGCCTGTTGAACCAAATGCAAATATGCACTACCCAATAGAATAGATAAACTTAAGACAATTATGTCTTTTTGCAGAGTAAAACATTACTCTTAATCAAAAGGACCTTATTCAGACTTCTGTCATTACAGTTAAAGCCTCAGGCTTCTTTCTTTTTGCAACAGTTTCTATGATATAGTTCTCAAAAAAGTCAAGTTTTAGATGAATGACTTCCTTTATTTAATGTGAACGATATTGTCGAATATGAATTAGCCTGCATTTTAAATAAATTAAGCAATATGTAAAAACACTTTATCTAATCAATTAAACGCAACAATACGAGGAAATCTCATCAAAAACACCTTTTGAAGGGAAGTTTTCTTGATCACAGATCTCAGATCAGAACACAAAGTCCTACCTTGGAGTAGTACCAGAGATCTAAAGTAAACCCTACTTTTTGTTAGGCTAAGTTGCAGATTATATTAAAGTGTAAAGGTTTACTTTTTTAATGTCAGTTGCTTCATCATCACTGTGTAGTACATGTAAAGGCACAGATTGATGTATTTTTCTGGCATCTCCCTGACGCACCCTTGCCCTAAATAAATCTGTTTGCCAGGATCTTGTCGCTTAAATTAGCCATCTCAAACTTTTGGTCCTGCCAACACAGGCGATTGTGCCAATGTTCTCAGCATCTACTGGCACACGAGCTGTTGCCTTTTCTTTGGTTTTCTGTGTGTACCTGGGGCCATCACCCTTCCTTCACAAGATAGCAGTCTGGATTATGTGTCCCTGAGACAGACTTCAGGATTCTTTGGACTCACTCTAGTTCTCTCCGGGGTGTGCATCCTGCACAATATATTTTCAGCCACAC